CATGTCTTCTACAATCTACATGCACATGGAGCAGTGAAGTACTTCAAAACAAATCAAATGGGTACAGCTCTGGAGGGCTTCAGCTGGTTTTGGAACATTTCAAGGGCATGAACATCTGTACAGCTGGCCCTCTGAAACATTTAAAAGGCATTTGAAACATACTTCCGTCTGCATTCCAAAGGAGGACATTGGAGGCAGAATTTCTTCACTTGGAAAAAGCCCATCTGGTTTATGAAGTGGCAGCCAGAACATGAAGGGCAGAGTTCTCTGGAGAACTCTTTGGTGAAGAGTTTGTTCCTGGTCTTTCAAAAAAAGTTGGGGCATTGGTTCTTATTGCTATTAAAACTTGGTTTTTGGAGACAAGCTAAGATGTCACTTTCTTTCAAAGTCTTCCCGCGCTGAGCAAAAACAAAAACACCAACCCAGAAATTAGAACTTATGTGTTGTAAAGAAGTTGTGTTTTCTCCTTAAAGATGCAAATAATACAATTCTCCATGATAAGACTAAAGCACTGTATGATAAGCTACCTTCTGTGGGCAGGCTTGTTGGTAGATGGGATGCTGTGGATCCTCTGGTGGTGGTTAAAACTCTGAACTTCGTAGTGGTTTGTTGCATGGCAGTGGTAGTGTGAGGTGGTATCTCAGTTGTGCCTATGTTCTTTTCACAAATCTTATCTTTTGCCTATTGAGAAACACCAAGAAAGAAGAAAATGAGTCTTCAGGAGGAACTATTTGTCATAGCTTAGAGGCAGAGTATGGAGAAACTGTCACTGTAGGAAGAAAACGGAAAACTTAAATCACGGAATTTGAGGAGAATTTTTTTAGTGAAGTATTTTTCAGAGGGTTTGGTAGAATAATATATTTCACTGAACACATATTTCACAATGCTTAAGTTCTTAATAACCAGTCTGCAAAGGCTCCGGAATCCAAATGTACATTCTTACTGACACCTGTGTTTAAACTTCTCAGTTCATCAGTAGGAGGGTGCTGCATTATTGCAATTTTAATTGAAATACACACATCCATAGTTTGTTTTTGGGGTATCATGAAATATGTCAAACTCATATCTGTCTATAGACCATAGTTTTATACACAAGATAAAGCATGCCTGTTTTAAATTCACTACATTTTGTTTGTGAAACAACCAAAAAAGATGATGCTGTATGTACATGTGTATATTGGATTTGGAAGTCTACATCTCATGGCTGGGGACATATTTTACCATGCACAATTATGCCACTGGCCCCTCTTCCCCTTTTATTATAGAAAACAAATTAGAAAACACATAGGAAAATATAAGCTAAACCCCCCAAAGCCAACTGCTCAAAAACTATTTTATCCACCCTTTCCCTTCAAATCCCAGCTTCCTTACTTTAAGAGTAGACATTTAAATGGAAAGAATCAGTATGAAGAGACACTCAGAAAACAGAATAAACCACTTAAATTCAAACCTAAGTAATGTTTTTGATAATGTTACATGCTCTTAGGCATTTTTAATAATGGTACATGCTCTTAGGGCAGCAAGCAGGCTAAAGCATGTCTGCTCTGGGCTCCCTGGCTGGCGACTCTGGGTTGGATCCCTGCCTCCCTGTCCCTGACAGCAGCCCCTCACAAAGCGTGTGGTTCTTCCCAAGGTGATAGCTTATGTCCTGGTCCTTTTCAGATATTGGCCACGTGCTCCCCTGTCTCTCATTGGGATCCTTGCTTCTCTGACCTTGTCTGTTCCTGATCCCCTGGATTGGGACCCTCCAGAGGTCAAGCCCCAACTGCATACATCCCAGTTAGCTCCAGAGGTCAAACCCCAACTGCCTACATCCCAGTTGTATCCTTGACACATGCTGATTTGAACACATGGTGACAAAAAGAGTACATCGTCTATGGCTGCCCAAGGGAAGGGAAGGACATAAGCATCTAAAGGAAGGGGATTAAGATACTAACAGAGTCCTTGCTTCGAAGACAGCAAAGGTTCCATATAGCTAGCCCAAATCTCTGCAAAGAGGGAGAGGTCCCTAACTAGCAGGACTGGATAGGCATGCAAGGGGGATTAGTTGCATCCTGTCTGGAAATGAAGCAGCTAAACAATCCCTGAATTCAGAAAAGCAAATGAAGTCTTTGACTTCCCCATGCAGTGTGGAGGTATTTTGCTATTCCCTGCACAGGTCTGAGACTTGCTAAATACTGTAGTCCAGTCCTAGTGGGCCTGGTTCCATTTGTGACTTGAGAGCCAATTTTAACTCATGCAATTATAGGCAGAATTTGACTCAGGATAAGCAACGCAGGAAGGTAGTTTTACAAGAACAAACTTCATGCTTCATCCTTTTATGTATGTTTAAGATTACATTATATATTTATGTTTAATCATTAATCCTTTGCTGAGCACCAAGAGGAAGCTGCCTTTTTATCTTCTTGAAAAGATAATAAGCTGTAGAACACTACTCTGGCCAGGTAGGCAGCTTGAAAATTTCAGGTCTATATATCAAGCTAATAGTTCATAGGAATTACGCTACAGTTAGAACTATACAGAAAACTCCATTTTAAAAACACTTCTACCACTTTGGACCAATGTCAATGCATCTGGTATGTGCTACTGAGAAGAAAGTCAAATGTACTTTTCTAAACAGACATTTGGGGCTCCATCTTGCCATGAGGAACAGCTTGCTGCCACTGTACATTGTTGTTGTAGCTAGAGACAAAATTTGGTCCTTACAACCAAAAAGGAAAAGTAGCTGCAGCTCACAGGCATTAAATCCACATATGAAGGAACCCCCTAAAATAAGGCCACTGGGAAAGGGGCAACAACAACTTAATATATTAATAGATCTGATTTCAAAATGAACTGTTGGGCTCACTTTGTGGCTGCCTCTTCTCCAGAAGGCAGTGGTCCCACATAATACAAGCCTCCTGCCTTCTTTTTAATTTTTTCAAAGCCTGTTCCTTTCCAAAGAAGAACTGGCCATCTAATAGTTTTTTAAAAAAACAATAGCCAATGCCAGATCCAAATAGTTTTTTTGTACTTGCCTAAATGGGCTTAGGGTGGAATTTAGGTCACAAAAAACAAGACATACCGACCAAGTCCAGCGGTTCCAAAATTATTCAGGCATATCATCCATTTTGATTTAACTTAGGCTTCTGTGCCTACTCAAAGAATCCAGACCAAGCACCCATATACATAAGTCATGGCTCCATTATGATCCACAGTGGTGCCGGATCATAATTTTGATAAACTTTGCTGAATTCGCTAATTTGTATACATTCACAAAAGATGTCTAATGTCTGATATACATTGGCAACATACGGGCAACACCTTAAGCTCAAAGTCATTCTTGAGCTTCAGGGAAATGTCATGGTGGTGCCCATGCTTAGTATTTAAAGAATACTGAGCCAATAGCTTAGTATTTAGAGAATTCACAAAGTTCAAACGTACACCTTTTGCTTCCTAGGAGAGTGCCTCAGGATGGAGGCTAATCTGAGCAGGGGCAAGTGAGGCTGGCCCACAGAGCTGTCAAATGTGTACAATTCTTGGCACTTGAAAGAGAAAATGCAAGAGGGAGCCTGAATCCAGCCCAGTAAGGAGGTCCCTCCCCTCCCCCCCACCCCCAAGAAGGGAAAGACCTGGGTTCAGCTGACAAGG